AGAGCAAGCCTTGCAGACTTGATATACCCAGCATAACGTAGGAATCACAAGAGGCCCACGGAAAGCTGTCTCTCTTAACTTCCCCCTCTCTCTCTCTAACCTTTCTCTCTCTCTCTGGTCCTACAACCCTCCACACATGAGAAACATTACTTTTATGTAATATGAAATGTTTTATTAAACACATAAAACCAACCATGGGAGTGTTCTCTTGTTACTACTGTTCACTCATCAGGGTGGGCCCCAGGTTTATTACACTCTCTCTCTCCTGTCTCTCTTGTTCTTTTAAAAAAACAGTATTTTTGAAACTAAAGAGCAGACTTTATTTTACATCTATCTATCTATCTATCTATCTATCTATCTATCATCTTTCTTTCTTTCTTTCTTTCTTTCTTTCTTTCTTTCTTTCTTTCTTTCTTTCTCTCTTTCTTTCTTTCTCTCTTTCTCTCTTCTCTTTCTCTCTTTCTCTCTTTCTCTCTTTCTCTCTTTCTTTCTTTCTTTCTTTCTTTCTTTCTTTCTTTCTTTCTTTCTTTCTTTCTTTCTTTCTTTCTTTCTTTCTTCCTCCTACCTACCTATCCATCCGTCCATCTATCCATCCAACCTTAGTTCTTGGCACAATATCATTATCAGTCCCAGTAAGGACCCTTCTGCTCTATTTCTATATTTCCATTCCCACTGCCATTTGTTTTCCCCCATAAATAACTACTCTAACAATTTTGATATGTATATTTGAGTACATACATATCCTTGTAAAATATTGCAGGTTGTTTTGTACATGTATGTATTCATTTTTAGCTTTTTAAGTTTGAAATGATTTCAAACTTATAGAAATATTGATATAATAAAAAGCCTTTCCATGTGTCCGTCACTCAGATTCAGCTGTTAATATTTTGCAATATTTGCTATCTCTTTCTGTATATGTACATGAAATTTTTCTTAGGTATTTGAGAGTAAGTTGTAGACATTTCCCTTATTCCCAAATATTTCAGCATCTGTTTCCTAAGGTGAAAAGATAATCTCTTATATAACCATAGTAGAGTTGTCAAATTAGAAAATTTAACATTGATATACTTCTATCATTAATATACAATCATATTCAAGTTTTATCAATTGTCCCAGAAATGTTCTTTATAACCTCCTTTCCTTCTCTTCCAATCCAGTTTTCATTGCATTTAGTTATGTCTCTTTAGTCTTTAATTTGGAACAATTCCATGACCTTTCTTTGTTATTTGAGAGTGTGTATGTAATTTTTGTTTACATGTTTGATATAGTGTTATAGACATTGTTCCTTTTCTTAATTTTTCACTGTTTTTAAGATCCACCCATACTTATGTGTAGACATCTATCTTGTTTGCTGACTCCAAGTTCTGTTTAGTATTCCATAATATGCATCTGCCAAAGTTTACTTATCCATTCCCTAGTGACAGACACCTAGATTGTCTTTATCTCCTTGCTATCATAAATAATCCTGTCATGAACATCTTTATGCATATTCTCCTTGGGAATATTTCTGGGATATATATCCAAGAATAGGATTTCTGGGTCATAATGTATCTGCCTATTTAATCTGACTAAGCACTGCTGACTTGCTCTCTGGAACAGCTGCCCTGACCACATTACAAATGCTGTGAACTAAGATCCCAGTTCCTCTACATTACTGCCAACACTTAGTCCTAGGTAACATTCCAGTGTTTGTCAGTGTGATGGTTTTAAAGTGGCCTCTTATTTATTCTTTCTGATCACTAATGAGTTTCACTTTTTTGCTTTCCAAACTCTTCATCAATAGTTTCCTCAGGAGAGAAAAAAAAAATCTTGTCTCTCTTATCCTTCTGAATTTTTAAAAACTATGTACCCTATTGTATATTTTTCAGCTGATGTCTAAAAATTTTTATTTTTTTCTAAGTAACTACAAAAGATAGAATTTCTGGAATACTGTATATATTAGCATGTGAAAATAAAATTGTTATATATGTCTTTTAAAAATATCCAGTTGAATCTGCATGCCATAGCAATTTGGAAACTATCATATGCCTTTAAAAAATACACAAACCCATTCTTATTTTATAGTTAAAATCTTAATCATTTTTTCCCTTTAACTCAATATGTTTGCTTCTTCTCTCCCTCCCAAACTATTACCCTAATGGTATATTTTATATTTTCAAAATATTTAAACATATAGTTTATGCTTAAAAGTATGTTTAATTATATAAAATATCTCCATATAAAAATATATCTATATAGCAATTACATTAAAAAATTTCCTATAATCATAAAAATGTTTTTTCCTGGATTATTTTTTCATTAAATAGCAATCATTATTAATGATTGATCAGAAGGGCATATCCATATTACAGATTTAAAAAGTAATAAAATATAAAAGCAAAGTCTTTATAAGAAGCTGTATCTTTAATTAGATATATTTTTAAATTATTGCATTTATCTTTGTATTCCTATAAAATAAGGAAGGATTTCAGCATCAGTTCAATTTCTTCATTTTGTTTCTGTAGATGATGAATGCTTTGTTAATATAAGTAAGTAGATGAGATGAAAGGAGTTTATTATAGAAATATCTATCAATTCATTGAACTACTTTTGAATTATTTGTCAAAACATAACCATGGTGATTTATCATGAAAATAATTTTTACAATCTATCAGCTGTTAATTTGATTATATCCTCCTATAAATTTGATGAAAGCAAGAAACTACCTGATATGTTATTCAATCATTAACACCATTCTCTTTCTCAAAGCTGCCACCAAATGTTTTCCATTTCTCTTTTCTTGATGCCCATCCATATTTTTATCCTCCAAGGCTATGAACTATTATAAAATTGTGGATGGGTGAAAGATAAGTTTTTCTTTTGTAAGTGGGAGAAATTTAATTTCAAAAGAAGGAACTTGATTTTTTCAAAGAATAGAGTACATAATGAAGTTGAAGATCTCGAAAATGACTTTCTTAAAACCATCTGTGCCTGCCTACACCTATCTTAGCATGACTGTGGGATATTTAAGAGACTGCTGCTAAAAGGAAACCATATTTTAAAGCTATTATCATTTGACAAGAATTATAGTAGTACTCACACAGTAGTACCAACCTTTCAGAGAAATATAGAATATTAAGTTTATTGGATTAAGAATTTGAACAAAGGAGCCTTTTATGTAAAGTTGTAGCTGATTGTTTTGACAGAATATATGTCTAATTCAACTAATTGTAAATTCCACCATCATGTCCTTAGAAGAGCATTCAATTAGGTTGACTCCAATATGTTGATGTCAAGTGGGAAAATGAAATATTTGTGTTCTTGGATAGTTATTTGGTATTTTAACATGGGTTTCTGGACATTTTCATACACTTCTCTTCCTTTGCTTATGTTAGTTCCTCTGCCTGAAATACTTGTTACTCCTGTCTATCCCCCATGTATGAACATATTATATGTCCTCATTATAGCTCTTTCATATTGTATTTATAAAGGCCAATTCATTCTATACATGTCTCAAATCTAATCCCATCTCTCCATCCAGTGCCCTAATTCATACCCACATCATTTTCCAATTGATAATGATCTTCCTTCTGCTCCCCCTGGCTCCATTCTCTTCCCACTCCAATGTCTCCAGCACAAAATTATTATAATGACCTGTCTAAAATACAGATCAAGTTCTTATTCTTCTTCTCAGAAATCATCAGCTGCTCTTACAAATCTTCAATGTCTCTATACTGCCAAATGCATTAATATTTACTTTCATTTATTGTCTTCTCAATTACCTGTCCAATTTTTTTCTCTAGCAACTACCCTCATCTATTTTATACTCTTGTCACACAAATCATTTATTTCCTTGAACACACATCATTTATTAGAATGTCACAATGGAGACATATTTTTTTTAGTAATATTCATCCTGAACTTTTGGCTACTTGTGATGAAAGGCTAAAATTTATTTATATGTAGTGGGTATATATCCTTTACAGAAAAATTTTGGTGTATTATTAAAAATATTTTTAAATCACATTGATGGTACTAAGCATGGCCACAGGACACTGAAAACAAACAAACAAAAGCTTTGAAAAATAAAGGGAGGTGTTAATAAAGAAAAACTTTATCTTCATAATCATTCAATATGTCAAGACATTTCAAAATGTGTTTTGAAAACTCATAAAAACAAATTGCCTATGTATTTAATTCTCTTTTATTTATATTAGTAAGTAAAAGGACTTTGTGTTTGGCCTATAACCCAGGACTCCATGGATCAAAACCATCTTTTTATAATTCCTTTCTGATTCATAGTGAAGTAGTATGAACTCTAGCATCTTAAAAAGCAGGTTCTGCTAAAAATTCCAACACTTACTGTGTGATCATTAATAGGTCTTGTATTTTTACTAAATTTGTTTTTCTCATCTATAAAGTGAGAATTAATACATAATCTGTATCTGTTCAAGAAGAGATAACATTTGAGATTATATGATAAATTTAAAGGGATTTGGAGATATATTGTATCATTGATTTATTCCTTAGTCTCTTTAACTTTAAGCCTATATTTCCTTAGAGCAGCAGTTCTCAACCTGTGGGTCGAGACCCCTTTGGGGGTCGAACGACCCTTTCACAGGGGTCGCCTAAGACCATTGGAAAACACATATATAATTACAAATTGTTTTTGTGATTAATCACTATGCTTTAATTATGTTCAATTTGTAACAATGAAAATACATCCTGCATATCAGATATTTACATTACGATTCATAACAGTAGCAAAATTACAGTTATAAAGTAGCAACAAAACTAATTTTATGGTTGGGGGTCACCACAACATGAGGAACTGTATTAAAGGGTCACGGCATTAGGAAGGTTGAGAACCACTGCCTTAGAGGGTCTAGTCTACTCTTATGGAAGGCATGTGTTAATAAAACTAATACATGATCAAATAAGAAAATAAAGGATGTATTGGGGTTTGTTTTATTTTTTCTTACTTCTTTTATGTTTCTTATGTTTCTTCCTTGTTAAAACAGTTTTGGTATGAACCATGATGGACTTGGAAATCCTTGTGGGACGAAAGGTCATGAAACAGCAAAACTTATGGCAGCTCACATTACTGCAAATACCAATCCTTTTTCCTGGTCTTCCTGCAGTCGAGACTATATCACCAGCTTTCTAGAGTAAGTAATCTCTGGAGAGTGATGATGAATTGCTCTAGAAGTAAACCATTGCTAGAAGTCTAATATGTAGTGCTTCAAACTTTGCATAATGAGTAACTTTTATAGGGCCCAGCGATATTTCAGGCGGTTCCGAAAGTACTTTAATATATCATTGTGGCAAATATTTTCCTTCATACTCAAACAGAACTTACAGAATAGATTAGAGGAACTGAAGCAAGGATTTAAGTGGAGTTGATGATATGAGTGTTAGAAATGTTCACTAAATGGGAAGCAATGTCAGAAAAAATGTAGATTTACACAATTTAATAGAGCATAGGTCAAACTTTAATTCAGTGATTATACATTTCATTTTATTGGTGAAAGAAAACAGAGTTCTATAAGAATGCCTTAGTATCTAATAGTAATAAACAACAACAACAAAAAATCAAACACCCACAAAATAAAAATGAAAAATTGAAAACTTGTCTTTGAAAATTTATTTTTAAATATATTCTTATGGGTTTCAGAGAGGAAGAGAGAGGAAGAGATAGAAACATCAATGATGAGAGAGAATCATTGATCAGCTGTCTCCTGCATGTCCCCTACTGGGATCAAAACGTGATCTCCTGGTTCATAGGTCGACGCTCAACCACTGAGCAACACTGGCCAGGCTTGAAAATTTATTAAGAAACACATCTTTCCTACAGTTTAGGACCTTCTTTCTTGGTCTTTTAATGTGTACTTCAAGAGTTTGGTTACTTAACTGTGAAGAATATAAATTAGCTAATAGGAAGGCAGGTGTTCTTCACATTTCACCTGCACATCGGGGCTTCAGTATTGAACTTTGTAAACTAATAGTCTTAGGTCTCATTTTCTAACTTTGTGACCTTGGGCGTGTTACTTCAGCTTTATAATCTTCAGATCCTCATTTCTTAAGTGAGTTTAGTTAATAATACATACAACATCAGGTTATTATGTATATAATCATGTATAATGCTAAAATGTATTAAAAACACTTAAGAGACATTCATCAAGTGGTAAATATTATTTTAAATGATATCAAGATTTTAAGCTCTATGGCTCTGTCATTACCTTCAATAATTTTGTGCCATTTTTTTCCCTTGGGGAGAAGAGATTAAATACTCTGTGAAAAGGTGAGTCATACATAAAGCACAGGTGGTTATTTAAACAGGATTTAAAAATTCTTTTTAAAAATTGTCCTTTCAGATTTCACATTAACATGATGATAGTGTAACATTTTTAAAAATTCAGATAGGTTATATAGGATAACCTACTTGTAAGTTCGTTTAAATTTTGGTTCATATCTGGGAATGGTCTGATTATATTCTGAAAACTTATAAATACTTATTTTTTAAAAAGCCTCAACAAGAGATTTAAAAATACCCAATACAGTGCTTTACTCAATCAAAGATTAAAGGATAAATGCTTAAAATGGGCTCTTTTGAATTAACTAATATAATAATGAAGTTGAAGGAATTCACTTAGAAGGTAGTGCTGCATAACCTAACAGTTTTTAATCTTAATAATAGACCATTATAACACTGTGCTTGCCTGGTGCCAAAACTGGGTAAAGGGCTATAAAGATAGACCACAGAGAATTTGTTTGACATCTTTTGGTAGTTTTTTTTTTTAACACAAAGCACTTGCAATATCATTTTCCAAGATTTTTTTTAAATGAGATCATATTACCTAAATTTAAACATTGTTGAAAATCTGCTCTTCCCAGAAATCAAGCCAGATCTGCCATTTCTCTCTTGACTTGGCTCATGTTTTTATAATGGAATCTTAGTAACTGTCACCAGAAAGACAAACTATATAACATGCTCAGTATTCCTGTGCATTTTCAAAGGCTTCCCTCCTCTTGTTCTTTTCAAGTACCATTTTTTTTTTGCTCCTCTTTCCTGTTTCTATTGCACAGCCCTTTGCTAGACCATCTCTGTATGCATACTAAATACAAGGACCAGGTTTCATTTCTTGCCAGCACCTACCCAGTTGAAATAGTATTAAGGCTATTAAAATACTCCAAAAGGAAATCCCAAAATTGCTGATAAAATACAGTTAAGAAATCACCACTGGTTTGGTGAGAAATGTAAAATTCTTATTAATTGCAAGAAAGTGTCCCATTGAATTAATTAAAATAATTAATACAAAGAGCATTATTTAAGCCTTATTGCCTCTTTGCATTTCGTATGTGTAAGCATGATTAGTATTGTCAGGGTTCTAATGGGCTTATTTATCCTGTATTTTATAAAAATATTTCTGTTGTGCATTCTCCTGGGGATAGATACTCACAAAATTAAAGCCATTTGTGAGAGACAGATGTGAAAGACAATGGGTAGCAATTTGGGGAAAGTTGGCTTCCCGCCCCCTCCCCCCCTCGCCTTTAATAATAAACTAAACAACCTTGATCATAATCTGACTAAGCAGTAAAGATTTTTAAAATACAAAGCCCTTTAAAAAGGTCAGTTCACTGGAGCACAAAGACATAATAGTAACTTTCTTGAATTTCTTTGTTCCTTTTTATTAATGCAATGGACTTAATTGCTTTAGCAGCTATGTGTGATACTTTTTAAAATCCAGTGATATTTTGATCAGGGATTGAGGTTACATTTATGTTTTATAGTTGGCTCAAAAAGACTCATAACATTTTATTTCAGTTTCTCCTCTCAAGAAAAAGAAATCTGTAAAGATGAATTGTTTAGGAACTGTAGCCCAGCCAACAAAATGCATACCTTTCTCTACTTAGTAACTGTATAGGCCAAAGATGGTGGATTTTAACAATGAGCTTTCTATGATTTATAGATTCACTATTCACTATGTTCAACTGAAAACCATTCCATGGCCTTTAAATGCCAATATAGTAAAAAGTCTCTCGTGTCAAACACTACGTGCTACTGATCAATCAGGAGATGGTGTTTACCAACTCCCAATATTTTTTTTCAGATTTCTTAAACTCGGTGATTCAATAAGTGGTTCATGAATCGCCCAGAAGCCGTCCTGATTAAGTAATAAAGAACCTATTTCCGTTAGAATGGACGTGTTATGCCAGCTTCTGATGTTTTCGCCGACGGCTTTGCAGGTAGTGTCCTTCCTATCTGCCTGCGGGACTTATTTATTTATTTATTGACTTAGAAAGTGGAGAAAGATGAACCTGGTATCATGGCTCACTCTCACTGATGACACTGGGCTAATTTACCAGGCAGTGGAAGGCAGCCAGAAGTCATTTAGTTCAGGTTTTTGTTTTTTGTTTTTTCTTATTCTTTTTTTTTCCCCATATATTTTCCACCACTTAGTGGTAGTAGTACAGAGTAATTTCATATAGTTTTTTAAAATTCTGAGGCCTCTGTGAATCAACTTGCTCTATTTAAATTAAAGTCTGTTATATTGTTTGAACTGTCAAAGATCCATAGCAAAATCTCCTACAGTTTCCAGATTAAATAGAGATTATCCATTTTCACAGAAAGGATGGAAGCTGAAAAGGAAAGGCAACATTACGGTTGAAGGTGAGCTAGGAAGAAAGGTGAGTGTAGAGCTACAAGAGAAGTGACATAAGATGAACAGGATGACTAAGGCACTCATATTTCTTCTATAGTATTTACTTTGAAGGTCAATGTCAATGATCTATTAGACGAAAAACAGTTTTATAGATGGGACCTCTTTTTTTACATGGAACCCATGGAACAGCTTAGAAAAACAGGTTTCTCCTTCCTTCCATGTTTCTGACACGTTTGGGGGACTTCACTCAAATCCATAAATATCATCGATAAGTTCTAATTATGTATGGAGAAAAAGAGAGCATAACTTAATAAACCGTTATTGATACTGTGTTTGCATATTGGAGGCTTCAAGTTTAGTTTTGTTCAAGCACCCCTCTCATCCAGAGGACAAGAGAGAAAGGTTTGACTTAAAGTAACTCATTTTAGGATGGAATGTATGGTTAGTTTTGTGAAGACTGGTAGCGCAGTTTATGAGAACACAGTAGGTAAGAAACTTCACTTGTAGATGATACCAACTTAATTCATTTTTGCTTAATTTAGATATATGAGCACAATTCTGTGGAAAATAATACCAGATGGCATTATTATGTTAACTTTTTGTTGTTGTTGTTCAGAGACTGTTAAGATATGTATAGAGTTATATAGAAAGATTTATTTTTTAGATTGACCCATTGTACTATAGACTGAAGGTCTATACTTTATCGTATAATTGTTGAAGTGAAAAATAAATCTACAATTACAATTAGGGGTATGTCCTTATGTGTTCTGGAAGCAAAGCCAAGAGTGCATATTTTATGTAAGGGTCTGTAAATTTTAGTTGAAGACTCAACTCTGGCTCATGTTCCTATTTTCAAGGCTAACTTTTGAGCTATGTAAATAAGATTTCTCTAAATTAGAAGTAGGATACATAAAATATGACTTTGCTATCACGCTGCGAGGATTTTTGGAAATGTAAATATACTTTGATTTACTAAGAATTTCGTAGTCAAGGAAAAAGCATATTCTCAAACTGATACAATTTTTTTTGGCCTTGTCTTAGAAGCATAAACAAAAGCAGAATCTGTGAATTCAATAGTTATCTATATTGCTGTATATTTTAACTAGGATCGGGCTTTTAGTTATGAAATATATGCTGCTAGGGAAATAATCACAATTCTACTTTTTATGTTTATTCTTTTGCTCTGGACACATGTATATTATACTTAACAATAGAAAGTTGCATTAGCATCTCAGATGGAAACTACTAACAGTATCCTTCATTTTTTTAATGATGAGTGAGGTTTATGTTTTCTGAGTGGAAAAAATTCTCATATGTCACTAAAACACAAACTATGTTTAAAAGTGCTATTTGATGAGAAAATATTATATGTAATATTACCACTGTTATTATTTTGATAGTAGTAGCATAAATAATACTAGGTTCACCATCATAAGACTTGTATGGTTGAATTGATGAGCTAGAACCCTGGATTAAATAAAAATTACTCATAACTTCCATTTTGTTAAAAGGAAATAATTATAAAATATTTAAAAAATCTCATCTGTAATATTTTTAAGAAAGAGAATATATTTGTCCCAGGAGACCTGTACAAAAATATTCATATCAGCATAATTTGCAATTTCCAGAAATTAGAAATAATTCAAATGCTCATTTGATATTTGTGGCATAGTCTTAAATGGAATGTCAAAGAACAATATGAATGGACAGGCTATAGTTATACACATCAATATAGATATATCCCACTTTCCTAGTACTGAGTGAGTGAAAGAATAAAGTCACAAAGGAAAACGTACAATACGACTCCTATTGTACAGACTCCAAAATCAGGCAGATGAATATTGGGAGGTAAAACTACTAATAAAATGAAGGAAATTATTATTAAACAATCAGAATATTAGTTACTTCCTGAGGGACAATAGGGGTGTAATTGGAATATACGACTTGGTAATTTAAAAATAAAGGAAGAAAGAAAAGCACTTCCAGGGTTAATATAAATCTCTACTTGAAATTAACAGGAAAGTAGCAGACAAACGTTAGTAACCGTATGCAAAAGTATTTTTGTCACTTAACCCTCAGTTAAGAATTAAAATATGAAAATGACCCCATCCCCCAAATACTTTAAGCAAGATTTTATTGTACAATATATACCAGATATGGTTACTAGGAGGAAACCATGCAGTATATAGAAACACTTTAAATCAGCCTTGCCCCATACTTGCTTTCCTGGAGCCAATAAAAATAGGTATGACACTTGACTTACAAACATTAGTGATTTGTACAAACATCACCAAATCCATCTCAAAAGGCCTTGTTGATGCCATGTTCCTAAATATGCATGTTCATTCTTAAGGATCTATATGATTTTTTGCTTATATTTCATTTTATACTAGAGGCCCAGTGCACGAAATTTGTGCACGGGGGGTGGGGGTGTCCCAAAGCCTGGCCTGCACGCTCTCCAATCTGGGACCCCTCCGGGGACATCCGACTTGCAATCCGGGACCACTGGCTTTTAATCACTTGCCTGCCTTCCTACCTGATCACCCCTAACTGCCTCTGCTTGCCAGCCTAATCACCCCCTAACTGGCCCCCTACTTGCCTGGTCATCCCCTAACTGCCCCCCTGCCGACTTGGTCACCTCCTAATTGCCCCCCTGCTGGCCTGGCCATCCCCTAACTGCCCCCCTGCCGGCCTGGCCACCCCCTAACTGCCCTCCCCCCTGCTGGCCTAGCC